AAAAAAGCATCATTTTGCAAAAAAATCTACCTCATATAGTGGTCTGTCGGTTGTTTATTGAATCCCCAACAATTTGGCCAATTAAGGGTTCCTTTCATCCAGTCTTCAGCCAGCAAGGTCTGAAGAATTTCTTCTTAACAGCTCGAAGTTTGTGACTTCATAATTCAATGGAAATACCTTGTAACCTCGATCGGAGTATTCTTTGAACAAAGATGTCTCATTGTCCAGGAATGTTTTACAATAATGTTCATGTGTCCAGTCTGGTGGAATGTCGGGTAAGCCGAAAAGTTTTCTGTTCACTGCTTCCAATCGTTTCCCTATAAAATTCAAATTTCAATATATTCGTAATAATCTCACTTCTTCTTACCAAACCATAGTGCCACTCCATTCGGTCGACTGTTCAAACCAACTTTATTTATATGTGGGAAGGTTACTGCTTGCATAGAATTTTCGAAAAAATGCATTGTCTGTGGCAGATTCCTGAATTTTTCATTATTTAGCACATTCAGTTGCGCGCGTTGCGACTGCGCAACATCGATGCCTTTGAGTCGTATTACATGAGCACAACCATTGCTACTTATTGATTTTGTCCAGAATACAGCGCTCGCTCTTGATTCCGCAACTGCACTAATTCACCGCGAAAATCTGACATCTGCACCCGTACCTTATACCTTGTGTATGTGCTGTAGAATCGAGTAAAATGACATAGACACTGTGGAGAGTTCCATTTACGTCTACAGTTTCCGTTTTTGTGTTGTTCCTAAACATAACAGCTAGGTTTCATGCTAATCAATTAGATGTTTAAATACCTACACTTCAACAATCTGCGCATGAACCATACGATAGGATTCTTTTCCTTTCTGTTTCGAGCAAGATGTTTCCACAATATCACATCGAAAGTCAGCATCGTCCACGTTTATCCATTTTCCATGTCTATTTTTCGTCTCACCCAGTCGCGTCAAGCATCTACAATCAAATGCAGCGTTAAGAGTGGGCAATCGTTCAAGCGGGATCCCCAGTCCCCGCCCCCCTCCCCTGCCGGACAATCGCCTTCTCCATCTTAAGTTATTTTTCATCCTCTATAGAAGACACAGATTTTCATTTCTGCCTTTCGATCACATTCTTGCGGAAATCAAAAATTTTCTGTTCTAACAGGTTCGCCGATTAAGCTCGCAAATTTAAACCCTGCACCGAAACAAAAAAAAGCTTGCAGCTAAGAAAAAATGAAATGACACCGAAATTGGTGTGTAAATGGGATGGGCGACAGGAACTTAGGACTATGTGTGAAATAATGAAAAAATGTGTGAACTGAAGAAGCGGCAGACTTTTTTCAGAGTTAGGTGGCTTTTCAGCCCACCTGGACAGCCACCTGAGGTGGTTGTAAAA